AGGAGGGAAGGAAATCATTGTAACCAATGGCGCGCGCGGGTGTAATGAATATTTCGAATCTTAAATTAGCTGTGGAAATTCAAGGATAGTAGCATTTATAACAACAACATATCAGCACACAACAGAAGATAGTACTAAATGGAGTGGGGTGGGCGAGAAATCGGAGGAAAATGCACAACAGACAAATGTGCTATATCTAATTACTACCACTCCCGGGCTCGGGATGGGCATGAGAATCAGGTTGGTGATGAGGAAGTTGATTGTCATCACAAGCAGGTGTTTCCGAGTGAGGATGACTAGTCAAATCACCCACCTCATCTTCTAAATCATCTTGACTTGTCAAGTCAATACCCGCTGTAGTTGCGGCTTCAAGGGAGGCCATTTGAGCCTGTGGTTGACTGTTTGGTTCAGGGACTTCAGAATCCGTTACGGCAAAGGTCTCCGAATGCTCCTGCTGAAAAAGCCCCAAGAAAAATTGATAAGAAAAAATACGAACAATCTACTGAATCTGATATAAGTAGCTTACGGTATGTGTTTCGGTAAGCTCAGAGATTTCAGGTTCGGCTCGTGTTGGCAAAGCGAATTCAATAGGAGCTTCTTCTGGCTGTTCCACTGGTTCCACATTCTCAGGAGATGAGGGCTCAAGAGTGGTTGTCACTTGAGCACCTGTGGCTTCTTCGCCTTCCACTTCTTCAGTGATCGGTGGTGAGAATTCCATAGCTTGATGAGCTCTTTCGCCAGCGAGATCGCCGGACGACTCCAATTGGCCTGATTCCAATTGATCAGTGAAGAGTTCACTGCTCAGAGAGGTGACGGCCATATCCTGAGTTTGCTGAGGAGGGGGTGACATCTCAGTAAGAGATAAGGTTTGAGCCTCAGGAGTCCATCCTCGACCAGCATTGTTGATTTGATCACTCGCCTAAAAGATAGAACACACAAAGTTTACATGTTAGTGGTACCAACATGAAATAGCGAATTTGAAAAAAACGAATATTTGATAGCAGTTTGTGTTAATACAATGTGAAGGAAACACGTTTGTTTCTTAAAATATAAAAAAAATTAACATCACTTTTTGTGAGCTATAAATTACACTTTATTGACATGGTGAAAATATCCAACCCTAAAACACCCCGAGAACAAATGAGAGCGACATTGAATGTGATTTTTCTTCCATCTGGACTGAAAGTGTGCAAGGTAGCTAAACTATTGCTGAAGGTTATGGCAAAGTGCTTGTAGTCAACCCAGGGCAATTTTGATTTAAAGGATTTCAATTGAGCAAATAGGAACCCAGGGTGACGTACGAATTGAGATGACGACGTATTACCAACCACAGTTGAATCAGGTCCTCGATTAACCATCGAAGAATTATCGCAGTAATTCACAGGCAATGACTTGAAGCACATCTGTGCATTGAAAGAGACTTGAAGTCGAGCACCGCACCAACTAAGGAGAGAAACGTGTGCATTTCTTTACGATCTTGACAGCAAATGATTCGTGTCACTCTTTGCACCGACTTGTCACTGGGAGCGAGAAGTGGGTTCTTTACGATGGCGTTAGTGGGGAAAAAAACAAAGGTAGTCTTCAAATCAAGCACAAATTCCATCCCTTAGGAAAGACCAAAGCGGAGTTGAACTTTCGGAAACTACTTATGCACATTTCCATGGGAGGTGCGTGGAAAAGACCTTTACAAATTGTTAAAACTGGACAAAACGGCTACGCTCTAAGCCTATTATTGAAAGCAATTAGGAAGGCTACATTAGAAATAAAGAGATAAATGCGCGAGCTTATTTATTTATTTTAACTAATCAACGTGACAATGACTGTCGCCATAAAGCAATAATGACCTTAAAATGGGAGGTTTATATAAGGAGGTGATAACACAACTGCCATGTTCGTCATAGACATCCCACTCCATTCCATTAACACCTTTTCAGCTCTACGAAGGATACTCGAAGAGAAAATGACTTGAAGGAGCATTTTAATTAACAACGACAAGTTGTTCACGAAGGGTATTATAAGCATAATTTAATAAATGACATTTTATGTCAGTTTTATAAAGCTGCAAGACGAACGCTTGTTTACGAATCGAATTTCAACCGTTTAGTGCTCTACATTTTACGTAATTCCAACTTACTCTTTCACGTTCATCACCTTCCAAAACGGGACGGATATCTCGCATGCAGTTCTTGACGATATCCTCACGTCCAATTTCCCTCAAAACATGATCCAGTTCATTACCTATCACACGAAAATAGACTTTTGATATATAACGGAAACAAGAAATAACACAAGGGAAGTGTGAAATCAACCACTTACCAGTTGCTGCGTCGCCAGCTTCAATCGTCCAAGCAAGCAGGATGGCCAAAGCTCGATCTCGATCACTCCTCAGACCTTCATTAGTAAGTCCAGCGGCACTCAGCGTGTCTGCAGAAGCACACCGATGGGAAATCCAATCGATAAGTTGATCAGCAGATGGGGGTAGTTCGGTGGAATCAGGTGCGAAAAGGGCCTTGACCAAACGTGGCCAGTCGGAGCCAACTTGAGCTGAAATTTCAACCAAATCCAGGTGGGTACGTGCAATGGATTCCTCGGTCATGGCTAAGGAGGGGGACGAAAACCCAAAGTTAAATTAACAAAAATATAGTTATATCTTAATGAAAATAGGCCCCTATCACATATAACTGTCTTACACACAGACCGTCTTGATGTAAACAATCCATTCAGACCCGAAGAAAGAGGAGAGGTTGGGTGTATATTGGTGTACACACTCCCACAGAGAGCCTCATTCAAAGGGTACCACCTTATTTAGCCTTTTGATTTTACTCCCCCTCCCTCTAATTCCTCTAATACTGTCTAATATTAGTATTTAGGAACGAATGCTATCTCCAGGCAGCCTTAAGGAAATCACCAGATTTATAAAGGGAAAGCTTTAATTCGACTTTTAGAGTACAACTACCATTGAGATTAGTAGCCCACTAAGCTTACACATTCTTCAAGTTACAAACTAGGAATTAGCTGTGACAGAAGATCGGAGGACTTGCTATTATAAAAGAACCGACCTGCAGTCCATTCAGGTGGTGGTACAACCAGGGACCTTCCATGGGAATCAATATCAGGGAGTTTTTGAGTAGGATGCTCAAAGTGTTGAGGCTGCGAGCAAGAGAGAGAAACCACTGATGTAGCTGCAGTAGATGCGATCGTGTGAGCACCATCAGCACCACTAATTAGGACAGATCCAGATCGTGTTCCGTCGATCTCAGTTGGAAGGACAACATCTAAGCCACAAATGGGTCGAACAGGAAGAGCGTCAGTGATTGCAGTTCCTCCCATCTCCTGAAAAAAACAATAGTTATTTTTACTTAAACCAGCTGGTGTAGAATGATTTAAAGTCGACCAAAATTGACGCACTTGAAGCATGGGCTTTATTTCAGCAGTACTTCCAGGTCGTGGATCCTGGACGAAGGCGAGCTTACCGGAAGGTTCTAGCTGAGGATCCTTTATGCGAACAGGGAAGGCAAGACGATTTTCCCTGAAGGCGTTAAAATGCAGTCTCAGCTGATCATCAGCCTTGCAAACGGGAACGAGATTTCCCGAGGTCTCAAGCCAAGTTGGACGATTGTCGACCACCTCAATCTCATTACTTGCTGCCACGAGATCGAAGCCCTCTTGACATTCCAAAGTCTAAGACAGAAGAAATATCATTTCAACGTGGAGGTCAAAAACGCCCGAGACTGCCAAATTAGATATTTAATTATTTAATTGGGGTATGATATCCCAACGACACACACGTTAGGAAGATGTAATATCAATATCCATAGGTGGAATAAATGTGCTACATTGTTAAATTATTCTCGCAGTTTTGAGTTGAACTGATTGTGTAAGTTCAATAATTAGTAGGGCTTCATGTTGTGCGTTAGGTGCGATGATTATAGTGAAAACTCACCTTATCAACCTTGTCATCAGTAATACAGAAGCAGCGCATCAGAGCCTCATCAACTTCCGGACGTTTAGCGAACACAATGAACTTGCCCATATAGGGAACAGCCGAGGCCTCCTTGTACAGTCGCATCGCAACTTCCACAGAAGCACTTATCATAGGACAGTCAATAAGCCAGAGCCTAGAGGGCAAGAGATACAAGGCAAAGTGCATTAAGGTTAAATCAAAACAACGTGATAGGCAAAAAAACCAGCTTCACACACCTGGCAGACACCGTGGTGGTGAAAGAGACACAATCCTTGACCCTGGAAAGAGGAGTTGAACCCGTGATGTCTTCCCAAACGGCAGGAGCGGTACCACCAGTAATTGAACAAAGCAGCCTCAAGCTGCTATTAGCAGCTGAGTCTGCACCGCCATGGTGATGGCGTTTGCCAGTAGAGGTGGTGGAGTTGAGAGCGGAACGTGGAAGTGGAATGGTGAGAGTGATGGGCTTGTGGAACTTACGACGACGTGGTTCAATGGTGACAATTGGTGAGACGGTTACTTGGTTACCGACCAATCGGGTTACCATCTCAGGAGGAACTTGATGAGCCTGTAATAGAGATAATCCTATACAGAATCACACCTCAACAGTTGACGAAAATTATTTTTCCTATTAGTTAGAAGAGGAGCGAATTCGGTTAGATCCTTTTATTGATCAGTACGGCCGGATATATCGCTCAACGTACAACAAGGAGCACCAAAACCCGCTGACCGTTACACCAACTATGAACAAAAATAATCTGTGCGTTCAAGTACTTTCACCTTGGGAAAATTTACGTGCAAGCGTGATCGTATGATAGTATAACTGGGAAGTTAGGCTAGACTTGTGATACGAGATCGAGAACCTACGAAAATTTATTTGACGCAAATCTAAAGTGGAATTTAAGGCATCACTGTATGAACTTTAAAATTCTCAACGAAACGTCACTGCGCAGGATTCAACGTATCGGCATTTGTTAGAATTTGGCGTCAAGACGGAAATTCGACAGATCGACGTAATACTATACAATAGAGTTAAAAAATCACTGGGTAGAAAATTCATCAATTAACCAGATTTATAACTCTAACTTTGGATGAAGACGGTAAATATAAGAAAAATATGGCATTTCAGTATTTGAATTTCAATTAGCTATTGAATGCATAAAATTGTGAACCAAAATCATTTACATTCCAATTGAAAAGTCTTTCAGAAAGACGAGGTAAGGACATTGTAAAGAACAGGGTTCATTTCTTCAGCCTAATGCCACTAAATGAGATGAAAAACGCCGAGGATACAGTAGTGAATGAGATGTGAAATAAGGAACGATACAGGTCAAATATTTAAAGGCGATTTCAAGGCAGCTGAAATGATATGTGTACGTCTCTCCCTTCTGTGGCTTTCACAGCGCACAATCCAACTCTTGGATATGAGACACCACTTTTGGTAGGCCTAAAAGCCTTTCAAGCATGCACCTTGCTAACCAGAAACCTCCACGTGCAAGATCGAATTCGTATGAATTTCCAAATGAATCAATCTTCAGTAAACTACAGTGAGATATTGCATTTCAAAAGAGAAGTTATTTCAATAGTAATAGAAATCATTTCGATTAATCGAATTGTCAATAAATTACTAACATGAAGTTAAATAGCACACAATCGATGAATGTGGAATTCGGGAGAAGGAGGACCTTTGATACTCTGACCTGACCTCAAGTTAACCTCCCTTTCATCATTCCTTATTGAACATCATCGAACTCTTCTTCAAAGATTAAAATGAAAAAAAAATCGTTGACATTTCACATGCAAGTACACAGAATTTCGAACCCCCTTCAATTAACTGCCAAGATCAATGATAGCTTCGAACAAAAATAATTTTTTTTACATTGAAATGTGAAAGCATTTAGTGAAAGGTGCAGTTAATGTTTGTGTTCGTTTGTAAACTCTCGTAAATGAATCCAAAAACGGTTCCAATTTATTGCCTAAACATGCCAAGTGTTTAGTAGCAGTGTGTGTGTGTGTGTGCTAGGAGTGGTGGAAGGCTCCAATAAACAATTTCGGCAATAAGACTTGAAAAAAAACGAGTGAAGCTGGCAGAACATCTGTGTAGGTGACACAAAACAAAAAACAAAATGGCAGATAAAAAGACTTTTACTGTGATTAAATGGAGAAGCTGATCGCGCATTCAATTTGCCAATAGACAAGTACTGTTCACAAGGGATTATGTAAGCTGAAGTTGGCACCGCTTAATAAGTCAAGAATAGGGAAACTTCCACGAGGTAAAACAAGCTGAAGTGTCATAATGTATCACGAAATTTTTAGAGGGAATGAGGAGTTTCCCGATTTGCAAATGCAGTCGTAACGAAAAATAACTGAAAATGGCTAATGGTTGTTTCATCTTGTTTCAATTGTTGAGGTCTGTATTAATTGGCCAGTGAATGTTTTGATAAATCAATAGCAAATTACCTAATGGACAAATGACAAATCGCAATAGTAAAAAAGAGATGATATAACCAACTCTGCAACTCATTCTACTGGTCAGTCAGACCACGCCCAGCAACCATTACTCTGACAACTATTGATTACTTCCTGAACGTTAGATCATGATGTGAAGTACGTTAAATCTGTTGAGTGAAATGCAGAAAAAGCCGAGCAAAGAACATTGATTAGGTGAAAACTTTCCAAGCCCATCATAGATAGCGGTTACAAAAGTTGATGCGACTAGATGGGTGGAATGAGTGAGAAAACCGAATTCTAAAAATCTCATCATCGACCAGAAATTAAAGCCTTTCGATGACGCAACTCTCTTCCCCTCCACCTCCACCGTTCTTCGAAGTTAGGCACTTTCCATGATTAAAATTGAACATTTTTTGTTTTACAATAGGTGCTAGTGGGTTGAAAATGCCTCTTTCTGGAAATCAGCAATTTATGCTATCCAAAGAGGTACTCTAAAACACTTCACCAACAATTAGAGGTAGCATTCACACCTACCCTCTCGTCAAAAATGCATCCAAAGTAAGTGGCATTCTTATAAGACAATACAATGAAGTATCACATCAAGAGAACACAATCAGACTAACCTGCAAACCAACACGAATTCTCTTCTGCAGAGCACCCTCAGGAAACACTGCTTGGACTTGGGGAACCACTGTGGAACTGAGCACGCCTCCGTCCGAACCAATAAGAGCGATTTCCTGACGCAGACGACTAACAACAGCGAGATACTGCGGGAAGTCAGTCATCAGAACACGAAGAATTCGCTTCTCCTTCAGTTGTTCGGCTGTCTCCAACGTGTCTACAATGGGCAAGAGGATGAACGTTGCGATGTGAACATTGCAAATATCTAATGCTAAATGATATTCAGTGGCTGAGTGCTTGAGAACACCTTAACATTCAGGCAAACTAGACCTTTTTATTGTTGAACAAACTGGGGTGTGCTATAGACTTACTCCCACGTGGTGCACCCTGGGCAACATATACTCATACGGCAATAAGTCTATTAACTGGCAGTTGACTTCTGATATCAAACTACCATCACCCCACTATACGTCAAAATCGGCTACTTCAAAGTACTCATCTTACCTTTTCTCTGTCTTTGTGTCTGTTTGTCTATTTTACATTTGTGAATCATCATTCTTTCCCCCCTTTTGAATTTTTGTCACTTCGATGTTCCTCCTCCTCTCTACCCGAAGTCAGCTAAAGGGCTAATGATAACTATCAAAACGCTTGCCATTTGAAATAAATAAATAAATAAATAAATCATGGAAAAGAACGGAATTTGCAGTTAGTTATACTCATTCTGACAAGTGCGTTACTCCAACTAGTATATCTTCTATTCTTCTATAACAAGGGGATTTCAGGTTAAGTTCTCATAACAAAGGTTAAGGTTTGTAAGTCCGTCTTAACACTCAAAACAATTATGAAAAAAAGTCTTTTTCGCTAAATGTTAATTTGCTTCATTGAAAGGGATTATGAATAGTAGTCCACCATCGAAAACAAACCTGTTTAAAGAAAGGAATATCAAGGAACTGGCCACGGGCCTTTACTTTAAAAAGAAATAATTTAAACAACTGATTTTCTTTACAAAACTCAGAACATAATCTTAAAATTGGTTGCGCACCATAAAATGGATCTTGATTTAATACTCAACACTTCCAAAAGCATTTGTTCGCAATTCAATGAAGTTCTAAAACCATTCAGTGCGATATTTTAATTTAAGGGTAGACTTACCTCCACGTGGTGCACCCTGAGCAACGTATACTCATACGGCAAAAAAGTCTATTAACTGGCAGTTGACTTCTCACTTCAATCTACCATCACCCCACTGCATGCCATATTCCAACACTTTCACAGTACTCATCTTTACTTTTTCTCTACCTTTGTGTCTGTCTATCTCTTTTGCATCTGTGAATCGCTCTTCGGTTCCCCACACCTCGACTTTCTGCTACTTTGATGAACCTTCCCTCTGTGAAGCCCGAAGTCAGCTAAATGGCTAATGATAGTTATCAAAACGCCTGCCATTTGAAATAAATACTTTAATTTAATGATTTCAAACATGCATGTCCCGTGGGCTACAGCTTTAGCCCAAAAAATTCTCAGGAAAATGAAAACCACCTAATTGAAATCTGAAATTTGTCCATAGCTGGATTTCGATATTCAATTAACACAAGCGATCAAACCATCAAACCTATTTCCATCCAGGGTACGCGTAGTTAATGTTCTTTGTGTTGCTATTTCATTTGTCAGCACCTGGGTAAACGCTTCAC